TATTCATAAAATAATAAAGTAAATTTGAAATATCACAGTGATATCTGATCGGCCTAATTTTGTGTAACGTGTCTGTACATAAATAGGATGTTACTCAGAATTAATTCAAGTATATTACCTAATAAGGACGAATTCTGCCTTCAAGTAAAATTCTATTGTTTTTACATAAACAAATTACACTTGGAAACAAATTTGCATTAACACAAGGCTTAGCATAAGACATAGCATTTATGTAATACGTATATGCGTACGTATATCAAAAGAATCAAGATCGGAGAAACGGATTGTTCAATAATTTTCAAGACAGAAAATAGGCTTGCAGTATAGTCGTACCTGCATACCTACCTTACATGATATTATCAGATGAATGAATCAAAAACAAATCCAGGGATACATTGGAATACTGTACATTGACGTTTTCTGTTATAAAGTTAATACAAAATTATGTTTCAATTATGTATTTGAAAAGAATACAAAGAATATTATGTGAAAGGGTGAAATCCGCGCAGAAGTAATAACTTTCTTGATACTTAATTACTATTTTAGGTAGGATTTGCATCAATAATGTAGCTATTTACTATCTTTGCGCGGTTTCACCCTGTCATAAAATTGTTAAGGGACTGTTTCGTACCAAATGAACCATAAATTTTATGACTTTATCCTACTGGAATTCCAGGTATGGATGAGTTTCTGTTTTGATACACGACGTGCACTGCGGGGTAACTCGGCTAGTTTAGAATAGATCTACTTGATTTTTCGTATTAGACCATATGAAACAATGATACCCGAAACCAAAGCATTCATTTTGGACATTGTGCTTAATAATGTGATCTACGAGCATTTAAATTTTTGTGATACGAACATGTGGTTACTGTTAAAAAAAATATATTGGAGACGACAGTACCTTCTTATAAAAATGATTCTATTGGATTTGACAATAGAAATTCGATAAATTGAATAAATTGACAAATCGTAACGGTAACGGTAAGAGATCTCTCCAGAATAGGGATTTGTTATTAATGTGCGTCAACGAGATTGAATGCAAGATTTTTTTTTAACCGTAATACTGTAATATGATATAACAATAATATTATTAATAATATTAATATGACCATAACAGTGAATTAAATCAACCATTACAGTTATATGTAGAGCCAAAAAATGCACGATATACAGACTTAACACAATTTTCGAATGAAAACTCTATTTTCAAACACAAGGGCGTCGATATAGAAAAGGATACAGATTATTTAAATACAAACAAATAAAGCATCATGTTATTATCTGGGATATTAGATTACCTATTATAGTTTGATGACACCACATTCGAATGATTTAGGTATATCTTGAATGAATATATATATATATATATATATATTGATATATATATTTATTTTATTTTTTTTTTATTTTTTTATTTTTATATTTATATTTAAATATTTACATTTACGTACATAGCTCTGTCTATATTTAAATTTACCCTCATTGTTATTTACGTGTCAGTTGTGTAAATGCTAGTAGCCGACAACAATCAGGGTACGATTTTTTTGAATTGAATATAAATGGCGCTTTTAAAATTTTTTTTTTATATTTTCTCCTGGGCATTTTTCTTTCTAATTTACCCTCCAAATAATTGTTCTACAGAAGGCCTATCCGCATATATATATATATATTTATATATATAATTCATACATACATATACTCATACATACATATTTGCATAAATACATATAGCCTACGAGACAGGTTGGGTTCTTTGGTATCTGCATTAGTTTATCAACGAGTTAAAATTCGATATACATATATATTATAATAATTAATTAATCGGGGACACTTTTGTTCAAAAAAAAAAAATTGAATGTGTCTCAATATTCAATACATTTTTATAATTTATTTTTTTTATTTATATATAATATTCCTTTCTTGTATAAATCAAAGTTTAAGAGCTATTTTTGTTTTCTAAAGCTCTTGTTGTATATATATATCTGATATATTGTATCTTCTGATATTAACGTACATACGTACGTAATTAAATTGGTGGTTTATTAATTGTATCCGTATGGATTCCAAAAATTTTCCTAATTGCGAGTATGTATCAAAAATTTTTATTGTTCGCTGAATTCTTTAATTGTTCTCATCTTCATATTTATTCTTCATGATCTTAGATGGACGATTAATGTTACGGGCTGTGTTGGTCAACATTTCTTTCAAGTAGTATATGGAGTAACGATATATTTATCGTTATTCGTCTTTTTAAGTTCTATTTGGTTATTATTATGGCGTCTATGCAGCAAACCAAACATAAAATTATTCAGATTAAATCGCTTTTTCGCTCTAGAGGGTTTCTTATTTACTCAAATCCTTTGGAGTAGTGGTATGTTAAGTTTCTTTTATCATTATGGCATTGAGTTAAATTTTTTAATTCATTAATTCATTCATTATAACTTTTATGTATAGTCAAAGTGGTTCATTCCTTAATATTAATCTATAACATGTTACCAGAGAGCATGATCGTTCGCGAAGTGTTCTTTGATCTAACTTGGTTGTTCGGATCAATATCTGTGGCAACTTATCTAGCAAGTGTCCTTCGAATAATTCCACGTATGCATTTCTACCGACAAAACCCACGCTATAAACATTCACTACACTTACCAACTCTTCGAGGCATAGTCTCCGTATACACCTCATATATAATACTTGTCAGCGCCATCGTAATCACGTGTGCCTTTTTTACCGGATATTTACGACAACAAGATATAACTTCTGAACAACAGAACGTAATTAATGCTCTGACAGTAATTCATTTTACAACTTATTCAATAAGTTGTTTTTTAATAGTTGCTGGGTTTGCCATTTATGGAAAAAAATTGGTGGATATTGCGAATGAAGGATTACGTCTATTGGAAGGTGTAAACGGTTATCCAACTACACCAAGAACTCCAAGATCTCCAAAGCGTAATAGATTTTCTCTTGCTACACGACGAGGTAGTAGTTATAGTCATTTGGAATTGAAACATGATCAGATGAAGCGAGCCCTTTTAAAGGTTTGTTTTCAAACTCTCAAATATATATTTTTCATCATAAATTTATTATTTTTAAATTCATTAAAATTTTATTTAATTTTTATAATATAGATGCGCATTGTAAACTCTGCTTTTACTTTGAGTTTCATAATATTGGGCCTAATAATAGGTGTTTTTGCATTTTATCATCAAGCGATATTTGAAAACTTGATTGTTAGCAAAATGATTTCAGTATTGGAAAATTGGATGCCAATGTTATTAAATGTTTTTGTCATGGCTGGCATTGCTTACGGGTACGTATTAATTATATTAATTAAAAATTTTGATTTGATCAAGATTAAACATGATTATAAACTAAAAAAATTTTTATTTTTATTTTTTTTTTGAAGTGAAATGAAAATTCCAGATAGATCCGACGCGACGTTTTCAAATTTGGTACTCACAGAAACTTCACAACCAGGCAACGCAAATATTACAAATATTGAAAATAATACTGAAATTGGTGGAGCTTTTACTCATTCTACAGAATCTATTGAAACTACCTCGATCATCACTTCTCATAGTAGAACATCATTTCATCAAAGAAATGAATCTACGGGTTCAGATACTCCGTTAATTTGTAATCCATCACTTTCAAGTATAAATGGATCACAATCTGAATCAAATAGTCAAATTGTGGGTCAAAGGAATTCATCATTAAAACATCCGCTATCGATAAAATGGCCAACTATCATTTCACCAATACATCTGCCATCAAAACAATCAGTACAGTATGGAAAGAGAAATAGTTTTAAAGATCTAAATAGGAATTCTTTGGTCGGTGCAAATTCAGGGACGAATAATACGTCGTATATAAATATAGACTTTACACCTGTTCAACAAATTAGTTTAAGCTTTCCTGGTTCAAGTGAAGAAATTGTAGATGAAGAAAATATTAGTGATTTTGTAATAGAACCTTCTGAGATTAAATGACGATATAATGTATATATAATGATATGACAAGTATAGATGCTTTTCTTGATGTTTAAAATTTTCTATATCATTATCTTTCTGAGGGACAATGTTTTTTTTGTTTATATCTCCCAGAGTATCTCTCAGAGTATCTCTCAGAGTATCTCAGAGTATCTCCCGAGAGTATCTCCCAGAGTATCTCTCAGAGTATCTCAGAGTATCTCCCGAGAGTATCTCCCAGAGATAGCTGCAAACATTTTTCAGTGTCTTTTATATGACACCTGTTATATCTTAACCACCACCATTCGTTTGTATTTTTAATTAGCATTACACACAACACACCAATTAGTCACAAGTCAGCGTTTGCGAACGCATTTCTCCCCTAAAGCATGAGTTTTAACTTTGAATTTTTGAGACAAAAGTCTCAATTTGCATTCTCCCCTCATCATTTAAAAAACACCATAAATTTGAATATATAGTGTGGTTTATATTTTTATTTAATGTATTCAACCACACTAATATTTATCTTTTTAATTAAGCATGTATAGTAAATATGTTCGAAAAAAAATCACTATTACAACTTATCAAATAAGTACGTATTAATGCAATATAATGATAAAAATTCTGGAAATTTTTTTGGAACTAATAAAAGTTAAGAAAGGTGATTTGCCCCACCTAATTAAAAGAATGCATCAAACTTTCTAAGTTGAAATAACTTGTATGGTTCTATCATCTAATTTAACCTTCTCTTAATTTTCATAAATTAACGATAAAGTATTTAATTATTCATCTAATTTAACATTCTCTTTTAATTGTCATAAATTAACGATAAAGTATTTAATCATTTAATATGATTGATAAAAAATTTACAACCTCTGCATTTATTGAATTTATTGAACATATCCCTTAATATAATACATTTACGAGTCTATTATATTGTCCCCTACACTGTCTTTTATCTGCGAGTTCTAATGCTGTATAATGATTATTATATTGTTAAAACTACCCATTCAAAAGCTTTTTTATCCTTTAAATTTTTCTTGTGATGTCACCTGATCAAGTCACGAATTGTATCCGTGTATTTTACTGACAATCCTCTTTACTACTGTACGTCTGGAGCTGAGGGAAGTGAAGTGAAAACCTTTCAAGCCTTGCCCTACTGAATTTTCGGAATGTCCGGCTCCCGCTTCACCTGACCCAAATTTTAGATTCAATGACCATAAATTAGGTTCAATGTTTGGATACCTGAATCTTGAGTTAAAATATAATAGCTGACTTTTAATAAAAGAATAGTTTGTCATACTCTACTGAATTTATGTCTGACTTTAATAGAATATATGTAATACACGTCACTCTGGTTATACCGACATCTGGTATAACGACTTCATAGCAAAATTTATGTCTCGATATAAATCTAGCGATTTGGGGCATCTCAAACTATGTGATGAATAATATCGCATCAAGTATTTACCTCCTTATTGTTATTCCTGAAATCGTATGATGTTATTCATCACATAGTTTGGGACGTCCCACATAAAATAACTATTTTACGCACTGTTTTTTTTGATATTTAAGATAAAATAGGATAATATATATTCAATCACCTAAATTGAATAGATATATGCCTAGGCATGTAGATGAGAATACTCTTTGGCTGGAGGTTCAATATCTAGAAATTGATCCAAATTAGGTTAATATTTGGATACCGAAATAAAATACGATAGCTGACTTTTTAACTGTATATTAACTAACTATATACTGATAAATGCCACCTTCATTATCTATAGCAATTCTGATTATAACATTAATCTGATTCCAAAGTTATCGTTACCGTTACCGTTATCCAAAATTCTGTTAAACGGTAATGATAGTTACGCATTATGATGTAAGCACTTTTAAGTTATTCAAGCATGTTCCTTGCTTTTATTTTAGGGTTTTAGACAGATTTTTATTCTATGTAAAATTATAATTTTCATTTTTAGATTATCGGTTGGCATTTTCTTGTGAGTTTTACGTATGTCAATGTCGTGTTTTGAAGGTTGCATCTGTTTGAAGTTGTAAGTGTCAACTTCGAACACGACATTAAAATGATTAAAATTTATGCTCTGCATTCCACATTAATATGTAAGTATATATCTATATAATGATTTTTACTTTTATTAAAGTTTTTTGTTGTATTACCTGCAAAAACTAAATTTATGTTTTGTGTATTTCAAGTTTTTTTTTTTTTTTTTTTAACAAATTACGTAAAGATATACCTATTTTTATAAAATCAAATTAGTAAATATAAAAAGAAGCTTTAATAAAAAAAATTTTTTTAAATAAAATTTGTAATAATTTAAACTATATATAGTTAAAGAGTTTAAATAAATGCGTAATTTATAAGCATTTTATAAGCAATTATTTAGAAAAATCATTTAAATAAATATATAATTAAAAGCTGTATATATATATGTACTGTAAAATTGTCTACGTACGTACGTACGTAAAAACACTAAACATAATTTTTGTTAACAAATATATGTATGTACATATATATAAGCTTATATATTATATAATTTTAATTGAATATGTAACAACAATGACAATTTAAATAAAATAATTTAGTCAAAATATATAAACATTTTAGTTAAAATTCTCGAAATAACGAGTATGGGCGTTATTTCGTGCTCCCTAAAAATAGTATTTGAAATAACGCCATACGCGTCCAGAAATAACGCGCACTTCATAATGATTTTGCTCGTGTTTAACTTTCATAATACGTAAAATACTTGCACATGATAAACCTTGAAGATTCTTTTTGGTCAATCGCATTGCAGAACTTTTGCTTATTATGTCAATCGTGAAGATCCTTTCACGATCAAAATAACGCCTATGGGCGTACTCGAAATAACGAGTATCTGCACGGTATTTTAAATACCTGCGCGTTATTTCGAGATTTACGATATATTTTATTGTATACATTGACTAAATTATATATCAAATTATTATACAGTATTATATATTTATCTTAAAATAGCAAACAATAATGTTATTCTATACTGTAAAATAAAAAATCATTATTATGTATTGCTAAGGTCTGTGGTCGATCTAAATTTGCCGACTCGGCTTAGCAAGGTCGATTGCTTGCAGTATATAAAAAAATATATCCCAAAATTTTCCGCTATTTCATTATTATAAAGTTGTCTGATTATCTATTCCCAGCCATTTCTTGATTTACGTAGTCAACTTAGCTAACTGCTAATGTCAAATCGATTATGTACGTACTGTACAATCACTAGCATAAAATTATATATAGTTAACTTTCATTTCACATGTGAATTTCAAAACTTTATTTTAAAAATAAGTAATAATTAATATATACACAGTAAATCATTTTATGTTATATACTGAAGTTATGTAGCAATTAATTGAACATTAGATCATAATCATTGTTACGTATTAGAGAGATAAGCTTTAAAAATAGGGTTAAGCCGAAATTTACCTTATGTTAATGGCATCTACTTAGCGTTAGTATATAAATCTATTATCTCTTTGAGTTGATGCAGGAGAATTAATTTCACTGTTAATTACTAATTTTATGTCAACTTATTGCTACGTATGTTAAATTTTTTACAAGTTTTAATTTGACAGTGCTCAAATATGGAATTAATTCTCCTGCATCGCTAGTTCGGTCAAACGATTTATTGCGCTTGCAAAAAGATGTGACCTTTGTAGATCACGATATCATATGAGAATCGAAGATTATGTAAATTTTAAGTGCTTTACCGATTTCAAGATAAATATAACTGACCGAAAAGATGATTAATAGACAATCTAGAATCTTTGATATTTTCATCACAATCATCATGGTGTCACTTCTATAACGATCAGGGTGACTTGCAAAGTTTAGCCGTCAATCCACGACAAAATTTAATAAAAAAAAAAAGATTAAGCGAGCGTACGTACGTAGTAGTCTCTAACTTATACTTAATTTAGGCACATACGTACGTACGTACGTACGTACGTATTTCAATTTATCACGTTACACCTTGCGATTTTTTAAATTTTCACCATATAGAATCTAGTTTCAGACAGTATACGTATACTATACAGTGTTGCTCACTGGAACGTTCCAATGGGAATTACTGGAACTGGAGGATAACTGGACTAACTGGATGGAATTGGAAGTATAATAGCTTCCAATGGTCGAATGTCACTGGACCGTTCCGGTGAAGATTTTTAATCAGTGGAATGGAAATTCCAGTAATATTCTGTGACTTCCAGTGACTTCTGATTGGCCAATTCGAATCAATTAGTAATTCAGGTACGTAACTTGTATGTTTTCCCAAAATTTATGAAACAGCTAAAGTATAAAGTATTTTTTTCGCGCTTAAAAATATAATAATGATTGCTTTTTGCAAAAGCGAACTAATCAAATTTGAAGAAATATGAGTAAATCCAGCGTTACCACCAACAACTGCCAATTTATAACATATCATACTGGTCAACCATAATATTCAAAATTTTGAATTTTAATAATAAAAGTAACGATGCAAATGATCAAACTGAAAATCTCGACAATTTATTTTTTAAATATTTCTATATTACCTCCAACTAGTTTGCTTGGTATAAGTTTCTTCTCAAGAGTTGTGTTGTATTCATCTTCACACCAACCCAACGAACACACGAGGATCTACAAGACGAAGTTGAAAAAATTTTGCTGTGTCGCAATCCTTCTCTAGCTTATAACATATAAAAGATTTATATATTAGTAAAGAATTTAGAGTAACTCACAAAAAAAAGCTCTAATAACCCATTATTCTTAGCCATATTATATAGCATAAATTGCAAGCGACATAAATAAACGTTACAAACGAGAGCAGGTGACATAAATGAACATTGTGAACGAGAGCAAGCGACATAAATAACCATTGCAAATGAGAAATAAGAATAACTTCTAACCGTCTAGCATGTATATAATAATACTGTAGAGCGATAGAAATTACTCTATAATATATTAATCATTGATGAAATTGAAT